TGTGGCTGAAGGGGAGCCCAGGATGGGGGGGGTGCCCTGGCGGGTGCGTGTCCTTGGAGCGGAGCCTGAAGCCAGCTCCCTCTTGTGCAGTACTCAGCCCCTCAGGCACCTTGAGCTGGATACTGGGGCATGAACGTCTCTCTACCCTCGCAATAGAGTTCCGCGGGGGGGGGTGGGGGGGGGGGAGCCGCTGTCACAGTGGCCCCAGCACCTCAGGGACTCTTGGATGCTTGGGCTGGGCGGCTGAGCCCCTTCCTGCCCCGCCGAGCCCTCCTGAAGAACAGGCCGCAGGGTGTGTCCAGTTCCGGGTTCTGGAAGTGCCTAGTGGAAGCAGGGCTTGGCTGGTGGAGGAGGGGGGAAGCTGCAGCAACCCAGTGCCCCCTGGGCGAGTTGGTCTTGCACGCAGCCTGCTCTCTGGGGGCCTGTGGCAGGCTGGCTCCGGCTCCAGCTCCACCTCAGCTCGGGATGGGTCTGTGCCTTTGTGCGCTGAGATCTAAGTGGGGTGAGACCTCCCGCTCCCAGCACCAGGAGGAGGAGGAGGAGGCGCTAAACTGTGAAGGAAAAAAAAAAAAAAGACCTTGGAGGCTGCTGCACCTCTCGCTACTTGTACCTGGCCTAGTCCTGAAACCAGCCTCAGTCCCTTCTCCTGCGTGTTCCCCATTTCAGTCCCAGAGCAACCCTCTGTCTCTCCCACCCCTGGCTCCGCCTCCTTAGCCCTGCTGAGAACTGGGGTCTCCCAGAGAGCCCTGGGCTGCAGGGAGGGCGCATGCACCATGGGACACTTTGTGTGTGCCTGTCAATGCTGGCTCTGCCTTGCATATCTGCGCTTGGTAGCTCATGAGGCCCTGACGGGAAATTCACCCCATAGCACTGCTTACACCCCACGGGGGCTCTGTCCCACTTACTAGGCCTGATTCTGGGATTGCTGCACATCTGTGAATAGCCTCCCTCGTGCCAATGACCGAGGGACCAGTTTTCCTCTACCCACTGCAGGCAGTTCCTCTGGGGATTCCACAGCGGATTCCCTGCAGGAGTCCAGCTGAGTGGGGATTTTTAGGGTGTCTTAATTGCTGGCAACATTTTGATTAGCTAGAAACTAGCCTGCTTTAACAGGTGCCCTAAGAGACTTTAAGGAGGGCAGTACTTCTGTGCTGATGTCCACTTAGAACCTGAGATGGATTATAAGTTTCAATCGGCTCTGCCTGGGGTCCCAGTACTTTTTTGGAAAACATTCTATGATCCAGGGTGTCACGTGTGTCTTGTACACATCATTGTAAAGCGAAAACGATGTGCACACAGATAGTCCTGCACAGATACATTTGTATCTGCATCCATATCCTCAGAGGCGGGTCCCCGTGGCTATATAGTGGATATCCGTGGATCTGCAGGGTCTCTACACACACTCCACTCCACTGTAAAGCAAGGTTTATGTGCAAACAGGCTGGACAGTGCGTTTATATTTACACGCGCATCTGCCTTGCTCTTACAGTGTAGAGGGGGTGTCTCCTTTTCCCTCTCCAGAGGCAATTTTATTTCACAAGTGCGGGACCTTCTAGCTACTGCTCTGCCCCACTGCAGTGTTGCACAGTCTGGCAGCTGATGCACTGAGAGTCCAAAAGACGGTTGGCCCTGTTTGAAGTGGGCTTCTTCACACTGGCTTCTCTTTCTCACACCCAGGTGTGAGGTGAAATGCGCTTACCCTGCTGGCAGGCTTGCCCAGGGTAGGGGCTGGACAGCGGTCTCCATTTGGGTCCATTTTCTAGGGGTGTTCTTGCGTGAAGCCGGCCAGTCCTGCGTGCTGTTAGGGAGATGCGAGAAGTCTGCGTGTGACTTGGGAGGGAAGGCGGTGAAGTAGATGTCAGTAGCTTTGACCAGCTGTGCCGCAGCATTTCACACTTGTGCAGGTCACTGTGAAATGTCCATTGTCGAAGCTTTGCTGGTCAGCAGCCGATCCCTCCTTCCCATTCTTGCTTTCCCTGGAGTGACTAGTTTATGGGGGAACTGACAACCCGCCTGTCGCTGCAGCTGAAGGACTGTTCGCTCGGTTTTGCTGACCCATCGTTCCGTGTAAGTTATTGTGTTGTTTGGATGCGTTTCCTCCCAAGTGGGTGTGAAAATGCTGATTTGTTGTGACTTTTTGCTGCCAATTCTGCTCGGAGGAGAAATAAAGTTGGTTTTTTCTTTTTTTCCAAATGCCTCTGTTCATTTCCTTCCCCGGGCTCTCCCCTTGGAATCCCACTCCTGCGTCTGAACCAGACTAGAGCAATGGCTGCAGCAGGGCTGCTCCGCCTCGGTGGAGAGTGAAATTCACCCCAGGGCAGTGAGCCAGCGCCAGGCCTTGGCTCCGCGTCATCTTGGTGCAATGTACATTGGCTGCGGAACACACTGGCCCCTTGTGTACTGGGAACAGGAGCTGAGCTCTTGGGTCAGTCATGTCCCAAGAGTGGGTGAGAAGCCAGAGCAGGTGCCCCAGGGGTGAACTACCTTGTGAACTTCGGGTAAACAGTGCAAAAGCCTTTCCATGATGAGTGGTGCTTGTAGCAGCTGGAACCAGGATCGGGGCCCTATTGCAGGGAGGCACAACCGCTGCCCTACAGCCAAACAAGGTCGGTGGGGAAGCCCACAGCCGTGGGAGGACAGAGGGAGCTGATCAAGGCTCTGCTCGTCAAACTACCGGAGCATGCGGCCTTTGGGCAGGGTCGCTTCCTCAAGGAAGATTTGCGGCAGGAAAACGGTGACTTCTCGTCATGGCTCGTCAAATTCACATGCCCCAGACAAGTCACCATGCTCCCAGCGCTGAGACGCTGCCTGGGGGGTGGAAGGGCTCCGGCTAGAGCGGCAGGGGAAAGCTGGCATCCCCTTCGAGTGTCCCTCCTGTGTTGGCGAGATCTGTGCCCACCCCCTGCAACTCCGGTGTCAGATCAAGGAAGGGCCGAGCGATGGGATGAAAAGGAAGCGGGGGATTGGCCGAGGGTGGCATAGGCTTGGTGCCAGAGAATGGACATATAGAGCCAAGCTGCTGAAATTTCCCTGCCACTGAGGGAGGAGCTGGATTCCTCGGCATGGGCTCCTGGCCATTCGCTGACAGGGCCTTTGCCGGCACCTTTAGAATGGCAGCGTTTATCAGTGGCGAGCAGCGAGCCAGGCGTGTTGTGCGAGGGTTCAGCTGCCAGCCGCTGATAAGAGCAGAGCTAAAAGGAGCTGCAATGCTGTCCCATGACCCCCGTCCCTCCTTGCGAGCTGGTGGGGGGCTCCAGCCCTTCTGGGATTGGTCGGGCCTTTGGGATTCAGGCAGCACCTTCTTCCCCACTGCAAAGACTGGGGGGAGATTGCTGGTCGACAAGGCCCAGTGAAGAATTTGGAGCTGCAAGAGGAAGCTGGGGAGGTGGAACATGCAGCTCAAACTTGCTTGGGACCTGTGGGGCTTGCTGCAGTCTCTCCAGGGTGTGAACGCTCCCCCACCCAAGTGTGGAGTCTTGATCTTCCAGGTATGCGGCAAAGCCTGTTGCTTGAGCTGCTGAGCATAGGGCTGAGTCAGGGGAGGGGTCCTGAGCTGCATGGGCTACATGGCTGCGGGGCAGGGCGGGGCAGGCAGTCTAACAGCGCAGGGGCTCAGCTGGCTTCGCAGGCAGTCGCCCTGCAGTCTGCAAATGCATGGGGAGGGCCCCCGAGCTTTGGACGGTGCCTTTCGCCTTGGTGTGAGTGCAGCAGCTCGAGGCCCTGGCTGCAGACGGGACCCCCGGCTTCCAGTGCTGGATCTGCACCCGGTAACCAGCCACTGCCCCAAGAGGATGACAGGCTAAGGAGCCCAAGGCTGGGAGGGGAAACGGCAGAGCGGGGAGGCGACTGGCTATTGTACAGCCCGGCGCTGGCAATAAATCCAGCTCGCGGGAGTCCCGGGCGAGGTCATGGCCTCTTGGCGATAAATAATTCCCCCTGCTGCCCTTGCCTGCTTGCAGCCAGGTAAGACGCAGCTCCTGGGGACCGGTGCTGTCACTAGCTCCTGACCAGGCGCGGCCCGGAAGTTCTGACAAGTGGAGACCAAAAACGTTGGTGGGAAAAGGGACAAAACGCTGGTCGGGAGCGTTCTCAGGCCCAGGATGGAATTTCTGGGGGCGGGGAGGGAGCGGGACCCCAGAGCAGCTGCGCGCCAGGGGCCGGGGGGGACTCGCCTGGAATGTGGGCGAGTCAGTTTCTGTTTGCGTTGGACAAGCAGGGTAAAAAGGGGGGGGCCTCTGGAAGGCCTGCGGCAAATCCAGCCCCTGAGCACCTGGCAGATCGTTCTCTCTCCGCACGTCCATGGGAACGGCCTCGGTTTCCTCCTCGTGCAAAATGGGGCAACTTTGAAATCAGAACATGCTGGGCCGGGGGAAAGCTGGGGAGGGTGGGGGAGCTGGTCCCTGCCCTGCTGCTCTCGTGAGACTCTTGTACCTCATCTCTCAACCCCCTGGGACCGGGACTCCACTTCCCCTGTCTGAGAGCCTGGCCCGGTCAGTGCAAGGGAGCAGAAGGCTCAGCTGGGAGGGGAT